TCATCTTCAACTTATTTTGACATGTTCAATTCGTTACACCAAGCGTATAGATTTGACTAAAACAATTTTTCCATCATATATCGATCTTGTTAGATAAATTTTTGTTTTTGGTTTTAAATTCCTAGCTTACTGCGCCATATTGTCAACTTTATCGACAAGATATCATTATATTATGTCAAAGAAATATAACATTTTTTCTTTCCTTCATTTACTAATTATCTACATGTATTTTAAACCATATTGGAAGTCAAGGCGGTTAACTCCATAAAATTTCAGAGTTTTGATTTCTCTTTGTAGCAATCAAGCTGTGCATGGTGGCTTAGATATAGCCAAGCCGCTTGCTCATCTCCAGATATGCAAGACATTCTTTCTTTCTTTTTTGTTCACTCTTGTAATAGTATGCAAAGCCTCAACGTTTTTGTAAACCTCGACATTTCATTCCTTAATTATCTTTACTAGTTTATCAATATATATACATACATATGCAAGTAGTTGAAAATTGAATGGCTGGCCAGGCCAGGTCAAACATGTTTTGATGTGGACCAATCTAATGATTTCTATAGTCAAGGGACATGCTTTGAAGTTTGAAATATGTTTCCTCGATGATTGTTAAATGTTTTACATTTTAAACTGATGACATAAAAAATAGTGACGGAATGAATACTTTATATAGTTTATATGATGAAGGTTAATATATCTAAAACATACTAAACTTAGGTTAATTAAATATTATTATTAATTTCATCAATTTTCAGGTAAATAAGTTTAGTATGTTTTAGACTTTCGAAATGTTACTTTCAATCGTTACTACATCAAAAGTATGTTGTGTTATCAGTTAGTGATAATTGCTAATCGAATTATTTTGGCATCTCCTAAAAACTCAAACTCGTACAATACTCTACATATATGGTATTGGACAAAAGAAAAACGTCAAGATCGGGCCTGTCCCAAACCAACAGATAGATTGATGAAGATGCATCAACTCTCACGCATATATAAAAGTCAAACCACGAGATTCCAAATCCAAACCCTTTTCATATTCGCGACATAGTCCCAATTTTGCCGCTAACACCACACAACATCCCATGACGCTTTGTTACATATCATGCCCTGTTGCTGTACATAATGTCTGTCTAGTATTATTGTAGCTTTTTGTAAACAGTAAACACCTGAATAATTGAATAAGCCAACAGTTTAGTAGCAAAATAAAAGCTTATAGGTGTTTTACTGTTTTATCTTTTGCTGACATTTGCAGATCACACAACTCAAAACATAATTCATTGTTACCTTTTGTCAACAGCTATTTTTGTTGCCAACAAAAATAGAAGAAAAACTAAACTTTTTGACTGGATAATAAGAAATATAATAATAGCCATGAATAGTAACTATTTAAAAGACTGTTTCTGCATATAAAATAAAATAAACGTAATTGTTCGTATATAATCCATATTTGTTTTGTATAATTGCCATATCATTTTAGCTATCTGATGTTTGCTCTAATTTTTGTATACTAATCACACTCACTTAGTCACTTATTTCCACTTAACTTGTATTCATTCATTAACGTCTCACACATGTCCTCCATTTTTTCTAAACTATTGATATAGAATTGTAGATATGTGGTGAGTAAAACTGTATCCGTGGAAATATCGCGATTACAATAAACTAGAGACGTGAGATAGATAGAGGTCCACTATAATTTGCAACCACAAAATAGATATCCACTATTTTCCTTTTGCATTTATATAATTGCTGAGTTTTTTCTTGTATTTTTCTGCTGCCAGATCCACTTCCATGAAGGAGACATGAGGTGGGCATTGATTGGATTTTGCAACCTATCACCTAATTGATATTATCATCACTTCTATATTTTTATTAATTTAAATATTTTGTCAATACGTATTCATAGTGAGCAATGACATAACATCTTAGGTGGATTCCCATTTTGATTTAAATAGATTAATCGATTATATATGTATTTAGTACCGTTTCTTGAATATTATTTGTATTAGAAAATTCCAAATACGTTTCTAGGTAAAGAAAACCACCTTTTGAAATTTGAGGCTACAACAAAGTTTTATAATTCAAGATGGCGAAGATATATTTAACTTGACCAGAGTTTGAAAGACTTAACTAACAGCGCTTTGAATTTATTTTTTCCAATATGACAATTTTTATTTGTACTACACTTGACTATAGTCTATAATACTATTAATCATCAATATGTTAAAAACGTCTTTGATAATAGTGTTTTAAGAATATGTGACATATTCGTGAAAAAATGATGTCTAAAATGTTACTAAATAGATCTCAACTAGATTAATATTTTCTTCGTAACAAACGATAAACGATAGAAGACGTTTGGTTCATAATTCACTCGATCTTCTTTAGTCCCAAATGATAAAACTTCTTTACTTTATTTGTATTGTCACTTTCTTATTATATATTTCCACTAGACACTAGCTTACATCGTTACGTGAGACACATATTTGGCTCACACGAAAGAAAAAGTTTAGGGGAAAACAATTACTTTTTTTTCTCTCTTTCTATGGCGACAAGAAGTGATCACTTTGGCAACACGTCTTTTACTATTCATCCAAAAATAAAATAAGTCTTTACCAAAAAAAAAAAGAAAATAAGAGAGAATTTGAAAAGAAATTGGCAACACGTACATGTACACATGCAATTATTTGCCCTGCGTAGATGAGTTCCACGCTATCCATAACGTATTTGATTAATCTTTATAATTAAATTATAAACATATTTAATTTCGATATATGATTCCAAAGAAAAAAGTTTGTAATGAGTGGATTATGGGGTATATAGAGAATATATTTTATTACACATTCATTCCATAGATAAACCTCAAACTAGGGTGTACATGTCTGATTTATCCTTAGCATCCAATGATTGATATATTGCATTGCATGATCTTGAATGATAGAATAATATCGTATGCATAAAATAAATCTAACCAAATTCAAAGATAATTACGTATACAATTATATAGAAAAATACAAAGAAAAAGAAGACTAGAGCGACGAAATAGAAAGTGATGGGATCATCAACAAAATGGTTTTGTTGTCATCATTTTGTCTTTGTGCAGCAGTCCAGAAGAAATATTAAGTCACTATTTTTTTTCATATTAAGATTAAGTCACCATTAATCATGCTAAACCATGTAGTTAATATAAATATGACAATAATGCACACATACACGTACGTAGAATGCAAACAAATGCTATATGTTAAAAAGACTTGCGTAATTGTGCAACTAACAAATTCATTATCTCATTTATATAATATACGAAGATGGTTACGTAGTCTCTCTGTTTAAATAACTTAATAACAAATATAAATGGATGAAGACTGAACATGTTGTCATTGGGAATTAATATAATCATGGTTTATTGAGAAAATGGCTTTATATTAGTCCATCAAAAACTCATTAATATATGTTCATCTTATCAAGATTTTGTACACTTTAATCATTTAAATCATCTTTCTGAAGGAATCAATTAACACAAACTATAGAAAATTTGGATCCAAAATACATCGTGTTAAATAAGTAAACATTCATAATAATACTACGTACATCTTGAATCGACAAAAGAACAACGATAGTTCTATCAAAATTATCCGTTTTGAAAGATAGTACGTAGTATTTAGTTATTATATTCGCTTTCATCATTTTGACACTATATATTTTTGTTACTTGTTTGCTGACACTACAATTAAAGTAAAGCATTTAATTATTACTTCTTACAAGGAATTAACTAACCAAGTAACGGTGTGTTACACGTAAGAACCGATGGCTCCATCTCGATCGACTTCACATATTTTTTACCTAACTTGCCTTTAGGCGTCGACCCTTTTAGAGTTACTTGTATTTTCAGATTCAAGATACGTTGCAACAACGCCTTCATACAAACACATACTACGAAACGTTGGACGTTTTTGGATGATGAAATTAACATGCAGAACTTGTAAAAGCGCTAGAGAATCAAATTATATATGTTTATCCCCTTAGGTGAACTGGATCCAAATTTGATGTACAATGTAGTTTTAAACGAATAAAACAATTCTATCGTTTCACTTTGGAACACAATGTGATGCCCTATAAAACCCGCAAAAGGTGTTTACACGATATCAAATGATCTATTAATGGATTTCTACGTCAATATATATAATATTAATCAAGTTACATCACTTCAATTATCTTATGGATTTTTTTTCTTTTTTTTCTTTGTGAAAACAAACATAGTCTCTTGTCAAACTATAATCTGACGTACTCCCTATATTTCAACTCTTTGATATAGAGATAAATAGTACTAGATGTCTTAGGGAAAGAAAAATAGTTGTCGTTTTACAATAAGATACTAGTATTTAACAACACCAAAGAAAATTAGATATTATTTTCATTTAATTTCGTGTTATCAAATCTACCATTTTTTTGCTTATCAATTGTTCTTTCTTGTTGCAAAATTATGTTTATTTTGTTTTTTCTAACTACAGTTAGTAATTATTTTCACTTGCTATATATGGGAATTAACTCGAATCTAATCATTTCTTCTTCTATTTTTCTTTTCAAAAAGCTTTAAACTCAAAAATCATATATCTTTTATCCCATACACATTTTTATTATACGTACAGGCTTTATTTAATTACTGAACTGAACTACATATAATTCATTCATGAATTATTGAAGGGAAGACTAATGATTCATTCAATGCCGTAATGATAAAACTTCACTTCCCACCAAAAAAAAATGATAAAAGTTTACTTATATTAATGGGTAACAGTAATTACCATGGAGATAATAATATCATAGTTGATCGAATAAATGGCTTTAATTAGCTTTTCCACCAAAAAAAATCATTAACTTTGGTATATAATCTTTTCAATATTTCGTACAAGTTAATCATTTGAATCATCTTTCCACATAGATCAATGAACCAAAATGATTTTTCAATAGAAAAATAAAGATTCATATACATAATCTTCAAAGATAATTATACTCCTTTTTCATCATTTAACATTATTAGTGTTATTTTTTTGCTAACACTACAATTAAAGTAAAACCATAAATTAATTATTACATTAAAAGAACTAACTAATCAAAGGAACAATGTTACACGTCAGAACCCGCTGGCTCAGACTCAGACTTTCAAAATTTCTACCTAAATTGCTACTTTGTGCTCCCTCATTTATCTTTTAAACCCTTAGAGTTTCTTATACTTACAATTTCGACCCCATGATTACATAACGGAGCAGCCGTTTGGGTTCTCGTCGCTGAACATCCCAGGAGCGTTCATGTTTGGCTGCGAGTACGGCACGTAACTCTCACTTACGTAATTGTATCCTGAACCTGGATAAGCCTGACCTGCCATGGGATAACCCTGACCCGCCATCGGATAACCCTGACCTGCCATGGAATAACTCTGACCGTACACGTGTCCTTCTTGCCAATACACCGGAGCCGTCGGATATGATGAGTATCCATAGTAATCCATTTTATTCACCATCGCCACCGGCGGCGGTGCAACTCCTCCTCCGCCAGCTTCCTTCTTTTCTTCACCATCTACGGCTTCTTTCTTCTTCTCACCGCCGTCTCCGGCCTCTTTCTTCTTCTCACCGCCGTCTCCGGCCTCTTTTTTCTTCTCTCCACCGTCTCCGGCCTCTTTTTTCTTCTCTCCGCCGTCAGTTCCTTCCTTCTTTGCTTCGTTCACTCCGGCGGCAGGAGGAGCCTCTTTCTTTGCTTCTGGAGCGGCGGCTTCCGTCTTCTTTTTATCGGCGGCTCCGTCATCTTTTTTGGCGGGAACAATAGGCTCAACGGTTCTTTTGAGCTTCTTAGTGAGGAGAGGCACTAGTTCTTTAACGTCCATCGTTCCTTTCACCGTCACCACATCTTTGGCTCCGTCAACAGCCACTGTTTCGACTCCTGATACAAAATTAATTATTATTTAATTAGCATAATTAATATAATTTTTTTGGATTTTTAGATATATAAAACTTTGTTGATTATTTTAATCCCTTACCTTTGATTTTCAATATTATTTTCTTGATTTTCTGAATACATCCTTCGCAATGTAGTCTGATCTTTAAAGCCACCGAGTTCTGATGAACAAAACAAATGAAAAGTCAAAATCAATATAGTATAATTCATACTCATTACTTTGTTAGACTTTTTAGCTGCCTAATCTTTTTTTGGTTTAAGCTTATCTGCCTAATAATTAAACTAGTGTGATCCACACTACAAATGATTTCTTTTTAAATTGCTAACGTACGTTGTTTAAAAGACCAGCGTACACTAGCAAAAGTTTTGTTCTTATTCAAGTAGATATATACCTCTTTTGGAGCTGCCGGAGCAGCAGGAGGAGGAGGAGTCGCTGCCTTATCTCCACCGTCGGCTTTCTTCTCTCCAGCTGCGGCGGCCACAGGTACGTCTACCTTCGGTGGCGGTGGATTGGCGAGAACCACCTTTCTCTTAGTTTTCTCCTCCAACTTCTCCCGGAGTTTCACCGGGTCAATCTTACCGACCACCGTAAGCTTATTCCCACCAGTATCCGCCGTCACATCTTTGACTCCATCAAAGTGCTTCACCATTCTCTTAATCTTCTTAGCGCAGCCTTCGCAGTGCATATCCACTTTGTAAACAAAGGCAGAAACCACCGCAGCAGCTGCCGGAGCTGCCACTGAATCTCCTCCACCGCTCTTTGGCTTGCCGTCGGTAGTCTCAGCTGAGACTGCGGTGGCTGCCGGCTTCTTCTCTTGTTCAACTTTGGCACCTTCTTGAAACTCTCCCATTCTTGGTTTGAAGATAAGGATATTTTTTGGTAGGGAGTTATTATTATTATTTTTTTGTATCTGAAAGATGAAGAAATGTTTGAACGAGAGTAAGTGGAGGCAAAGGTGCGTATTTATAGAGAAGAGAGGGTGCATGGAGATTGTTATTTTAGTATTAGTAAAATGTTACTAAATATTATAATGCATGGTTTTGATGTTACATGTTGAATTCGTATATATAGTGTGTGTGTGTGTATTTGTTGGGGGCTGAGGTCAGCGAGAGTGGGCGTTTGACGCCGGTTTGACACAAGTGATGGTACTATACACGAAGGCACCAAGTTTCTGAACAAACATTATTTTCTATTTTATCAACTGATAATCTTTAATAAAATTAATTTGGTTTTTACGCAAAATAGCTGATCATTTTTTAATGATTTCTTAAAGTTAATCATTTCTCAAGCTTTGACTACTTGATGACTAGAGTCTAGATTAGCCGAATCTTATATAATAAAGTTAAGGTAAAAATACATTCGAACCAATAGTCACAATACAAAGAATATACATCCTACCTTATCAGACTTTAGTTAGAAGATATATCACGACCTTTATATACGAACTAATTACAAATGTTATGTATATGACGTTTTTTTTTGTTTGTTATTTACTAAGTCAAAGTATTATCTTGTCAATAATTATATATAGGTAGGTAATATATAATTCAGAGCAGAAGGGTAAGTGGATCGATAATTTTATGTCAGAGGAGAAACTAAATTAACAGCTGAATCATAATAATGGAAAGATACGAAGCCAGAATGGTTAGACAACAAAGCACGTAAAACAAGGTAACAATAGAATTTGGTTTATAATAATGTTAGCAAGATATAACCGTTAGTATACTAAAACATTACATTAGATAGTTACAACTTCATAAACAAATTACGGGACATAGAAAGAACTAGTCGTGTTTTAATCAAATCAGTTTTGAATTTCTGAATCACATCTTCTTCTTTTTTTTCATAAATATAAAAAGAGGTTAAAGATAAAGTCATGATTCTGCAAATTGCATAGTCTTGTCTCATTATAAGTGAAGTTGATGGAACCTCCTTTTCTCTTTATCTCTTTGTGTTTTCTAATTATTTTAGAATTTTTCATTTTATGAAGTGGTTTACTACAACTGATTACAATTACAGCATATTTAGCAATCCCACGTAACGCATATTAAAGATCAGATCTAAACTTTTAAAATACAAGATAAGCGACAAGTCGCACATGGTTTTAATTTGTCAAGTAGTTTGACTGATTTATATATAACTTTAGTACAGTACATATTGAAGAATTCTAGACAACAAAGAATGTGCATAAATTAATTAATATCTACTTATATGCACATTTCAAAAATAATGTATATACTGTATGAATGTAGTTTCCACGTTTTCTTGTAATATACTATTCATATCACCTAACCAATGCACATATCACTACTAAACACAATTCGTACAGCACCACTAGCTTATAAACATATAAATTGCTATCTTCAAAAGTAGTTATTGAGTTTGAATTAAATGGCTTTGGTGTTAATAAGTTTCATGCTTAAATGGAAGCAGCCAAGAACTGCCTATTTTCAAAAAAAAAAAACATGGGCTGCGGTATAGAGACGACAGAGACATGAGGAACTGCAATTTTTAACTCATTGAGTTTTTACACTTTTCTTTTGAAAACAATCTTATAAGGATTTCGTGTGTGAAAATATTGGATTTATTTGAAAACCCTTTTTATTTTTATGTTCAACTGCATAAATAGTAAAAGGATAAGAAAAGTAAAAAAAATTGTCTCATAGAGTTGCGTAATTGCGTTTCGTTCTTTACCCTTTACCGGTCCATTTTGTCAACATCATGGTTCATTGTGTTTTTGTTGAATTGTTTTTTTCATATGGTCCTATGCGTGACGTAATAGCTGAGGTGGACACATATTATCATATGAGCACATGAGATATATATGTAGAGTTTGATATTGAAAACTTTCTTTTCGTAAAGTTAACTTATCTCAAACATGACCACAAGCTTTATCGTAAGTTTGTGTTTGTACTTTGAAATCTGATGTCTTGCGTTTTTAAGTTTTTTGTTTTGTAATTTGGAGTTTAGAGTTACGTATGTGAATGTAGTCCAAAACAATTTCGTAGTTAGATTCGATTTCAGCATTTAAACGTTTTCTGTTTTTGTGTTTTGTACTATGTTAGGAAGAAAAAGGTAATCATGGTTGTTACTTCACACGTCATACTGACTCAAATCCTTTTAACTTTTGTTTTATTTTGGTCAAGTACCACAATCACGAATTTTGACGAATGTGTTGTATTGCCACATGAAAAACAAGTGTCGAACATTTTCAACACACAATTCATCTTCCAATATGATCACAAATGGCCAAGACTTAATGATGTCTAATTTTCTTTTCCGATCTCTTTATATCTTTATTCTTCACCGGAGAAATCCTTCGCCTTACCTAATTAACTTATACTCTTTTGTCATTCATCGCTACCATTACCTCCAGGCGCATCTTCTGCCCACCACATCCCTGACTCGCCTAGAGACTAAACATGTCCACACCACACATGTAGATATAGTCAAGAGATATGATATGACAACTTTTATTCGTTTTGTTTCAATCCTCTATATAGTATCGTCCACCCGTATACTGCCATTTACTTCAAACACACACAATTCATCATTTTCTCCATACATTTTGTGTGTGGCAAATATCATTGCTCTCTCGTTGTAGCTCAAAAAGTGACCATTCAATATGGATATAAACCCTCGTCATGTAATGCTAGAAAGAACAAATTTATAAGGAAAAAGTTCATCACAAAATTGGATAGAAATGAGAGTGTGATACAATACTCCTCTAATCTCCATAGTCTATTTATCAAATTCCTACATCATCTTAATACCATTTACCAAATGTAACCTAAAACTAAACTACCTTTAGAAATATGATATTAAGTCCAACTGATTTACAAGATGAAATATCTATCTGGTAATTAAGACAACATGAAACAATAAGGTATATACATATATAGTATAGAAAACGTTTAGAGATCAAGTTTAGTGGGGGCAGAGAGACAAAGTAGGAACCAATTTAGCAAGAACTCAATTTTTAAACATCGAAATGGATTCCCAATCCAATCTCCATGCAACACTATTACAATTAGAAAATAAAATAAATATGAAAAGTTTAGATTTGGGACGGGTCAGTTTCAATATCATTGTTACAATTATTGTGTTGTCTCGGCACAAGCACCTTATTTTATTAGAAACGAGACCCTATCCGACTAGTCGATTTTGTTGTTAGAAGTATCTCGAAAGAAAAAGTTAACGTTCTAACATTCCAAACAAATCTTGATATCAAATCGACACGTATCATATATCTTAGCTGGAGGCATGACTCATTGTCCTTACTCTAGATGTGAACCTACTACATCATCAGTAAAAAAATCCGATTATTTGGAGTATGATAGGTTCCATCAAGGACATGTCCTCGTCCTCGTGATGACGACCGTCCAAGAACACCCTGGAGGAAGAAGCCATTATCTTGGGGAGCATGAAGAGCATGTATGCAATGCAACTCTTGATTAAGATTTTATTAGTTTCTTGTTATACTTAAAAGCTAATGAAACTTATGATTCTAATCACTTAAAGTCACCAAAAACCATCAAAATCATATAAAATACAAGATTGAATACATCCATATAAATTTGACTTTTCTTATTTTGAGCTACCAAATGGTAATAAGCCCAAATAATCATATACGGGCTTCTATAAAAGCCTGTTACAAAAATTGGGCCTCTTTTCAAAGTCTCTATCAATTCAAACCGCCTTTTTTTAGGTTAATACTTTATAACCGAAACTGAAAAATTTCTAGGGTTTCCTCTTCCGCGTCGTCGTCGTCTCCAGCTCCTCCTGTGGTTATCTTCTCTGAATCGTAAGTTTTCAATTTGATGCTTCAATTCTCGTTTAGATTCTTAACAATTAGCCACTGGTTTTTGAGTTTGATGATTCAATTTGACTACTTAGGAAGCTAAAATGGGTAGATGTCCAACTAGAAAAGTGAAGAAGAGGAGATTATCTCACAAAACAGCTCGGCGTGACAAATTCGAAGTCAAAGGAGACGATTTGGTTTACACTGAGCTGCGTAAACCAGAGACGGAGATTAAGCCTCTTCAGCTTGATGAGGATTTGCCTGGAATGGGTCAATTCTATTGCTTACACTGCGAGTAAGATCATAATCAAAATGTTCAGCCTTTTTGTAGAATTCTCTCTCTACACTCTTTTGGTTTACTGAATCTTTGAACTTTGAACTTCTTCTCTATATGTTTCTGTTTGTGTTAAGATTGGCCCATTTTGTTTGTTTGATTGGCTCTCTTTACTAAGTTGTTGATTTCAATCTCTACCTTTTATATTGTTTTAGTCGGTACTTCTCCAAGTCTTCAGTGCGGGATGATCATTTCAAGACTAAGAAACACAAGAAGCGGTGAGCTGATTCTTCATTGACTTGCTTACATTTGGGTTTGGAACTTTGTTTAGTTACGATGCTATGTCCTGCTTGCTATGTTCAAGCTACCTCTCTTCTTTGACATAGCTGGGATAAGTATTTGGACTTGTCATTTTGATACCTTCACACATATTATATTGTTGCTCTATGTATATCTGTTGTTCTGTTAAGGTGTTAATCCATGGGTGTTCCAAGGTGTTACTTGTGCCTCAATGAGTATCCTGACTCTGAAATTTAGTTTCTCCTTCTGGATTTCTTTTGTGTGGTTGCAGTGTGAAGATAATGAAGGGACAAGCGCCACACTCGCAACTCGATGCAGATTTAGCTGGTGGAATGGGAATGCCGGACAATGGCCCAAAGCTGATGTCTGCCTGAGTTTTACAGTTTTTTTCTTATTAGTTCACAGTTAATGGAACTTGGATTTTTGTTGTAAGATTGTCCTTAGTAGTCAAAACTATATTTTCCTAAATTAATGATATAAGGTTTTGTCTGATCTTTTTGATCGAATTGTCAATTGTTACAAAAGATTCTCACCTGTATATATGTTCCATCTTGCCTGCGCGTGGTCACCAGATCAAAACAGCCAATTTTTTTGATCATCCACGCTTGACACTCCATAATTGGCAGCACGATATAAGAGAAGCAAACCATAACGCAGAGCCAAAGTCCAGACACAGAGTATGCTGTTTGACATCAATACATGTATTATCCAACACCAAAGGGAAGATTAAAATAAAGGAGTGATAACATTATGAAAAGCCAGCAGCCAAGACATCCGCCAAGGATTATTTTCATTACAAGAAATCATAAAATCAATTGCCGAAAAAAAAAAAAAAAAAAAAAAATCATAAATCAAGTGTGCCATTATTCCAAGCCAAAGTCAAGTAAAAATATACAGTTACAGAGACAAGAGACTCTCAATGTGATCGGAAAAAGTATGCAGTCCCTCTAGAGTTTTGTTTCCAGTGCCTTGGTAATGGTAAATCCTTGATAAATGACTCTTCTATTCTAACGCTGTTCATCTTTGGATGAAATACAGAGCATGAAACGGACACACCAAAGATTGTGGTAACTGGTACGTGTAAACTCACCAGCTTCAGTCACACCTTCTAGATATAAAAAAGGTTTTCGAAATTGTATAATCATGTCATGTTAATGACACTTTACACAGGTAGTTATTTTATTGTCTCCTCTTAGATGAAGTTGTATTTCTTAGGATATTGATTCTCTTTGACGGAAATCATGTAGTCTTGTTGAACATCATCTCCTTCAATGAAACTATATTAATATATATTGTGTTTGTATTACTGATCCTTTCGTATGTATCATTGTGTTGTTCAAACTCGGTTGAAGTTTCTGAATACTGAGTCTTGATGAGTTGCTAAACATATGCATCCGTTTTGCTTGCATCGGATCTATTTCAAATTTCAATACCTTTCTTGCGTTAATACTGTTTCCTCTCGCATGTTTGTGACTGTGTGAAGATGTGTGATTTTAAGGGTTTGAAGATGAATTGCATGGTAAATTTGCGCCTAATGAGCGCACACAAACTTAAATATACCCATAGGTGCAAGTTCTTCATCTTGACGTAGCTCATGTTTTATCTTCCCTTATATGTCCTAGTATTCATTAGTTGGCTTATCTTTTAATTATTATATATATTTTGTATTTTTACGATTACATAATCTAATCTTATAAAAAAATAATTGATTTGATTTGTGAATGAAAACAATTCATGCTACTTTACAAAAAAAATAGAGTGAACTAACCTTCGTGACATTGTTAGTTGTTTACCTTACTACGAAAGATGAAATGCCAATTTTCTTAGAAACCTTAGGCAAAAAACCCATAAATCCATAAGTTATATATCTAAAATTCTTTTCTGTAAATATTTTTTATAACATGCATGAATGTTTTTGGCATTAAATTTTTAAGTACTTGTCCACATAATATGATCAAATGTGGAAAAATGTAAGCCTCACGTAAATTTGTCTTACAAATATTGTAATATGCATTCAGCATTCACCACCACAAAGCAACTACTTATCTTTTCTTTTAGAGTTTACTGAATGTTTTATTTGTGAACAAGTTACATAGTCGGAAAATGCAGGGTAGGCACTAGGCAGCATGGCTAAATAATTCTGGCCTTGTTCGAAATTCTCAATTAGTGAACGACGTGTGCCAATATAAGAGCTACGTTATTCATCTTCTTCTCATCCACTATAATCTCTTTTGCTCATATAATTAAAACAAATTTATGGCACTCAACAACTAAAACAAAGTAGTCGTCATCATCATCATGGTGTGTGTGTCCCATTTGCATATGTGCATGTATGGTCGCACGCGTGTGCTGCACCAAAAGATAATGAAATCAACAAAATTGTTTCATATAAACACAAAAGAAATGTTGTCTTTTCTATCTTTTTGGTTAGCTTTGGGTCTCATCATCTCATTCAATGTCCTTTTTGGACCCATTCTCCTCTTTTTCTCATCTTCATAATTTTGTTCCCCACGTATGTGTTCGTTCGTGTGTCTCTTACATGTCTAAAACTCTTAAAGTATCCTTTTTGACAATATTGTCATACTTTTACTAATCATGATCTAATAAATTAAAATAAAACCATGATTTTACACACACAAAGTTAATTTTAAAATAGTGTTCTACACTTCTACTAGACCCACAACATTAAAAAAAACCCATCTTACTAAACAATTAAAAACCTTATCAGATTACATTTTCATCATATATCGTAATATTTTCTTTTTAAAACCGATCTCATGATTAGAAAAGTTAGGCTTATCTCAAAATCTAGAACAAACCCTACCAATACATATATGGTAACGAGTGCACTCAATGACAATGGGATTATATTGACCTCAATAAAACAATTTTACACTCCTTATCACTCGCCTTCACTTCACTAGAAAGGCTCATAGATTGATATGGCAAATATATATGGATATTACAGAGGTGAAAAATTAGATTAATTATGATAATACACAATAAGAAGAAATTCCCAAATAAAAAAAGACGGGAACGACATCAAAATTCGACCCATAACATCTATGTTAGCTTTTTTTCCGTCTGAGTACTGAGTTTTTTTGTTTTGTTTTTGTTCAGAACATCTTCTGGTATTTGTTGTTCTTTTATACTCTCTTCTTTCTTCTTCTATATGACCAAAAGTAGTAAGTACTAAGCATCATCTTCCTTAACCCTAGAACTTGAACCTGACGTCATTCCGATCACTTGAGTATGCGTAAATCTCTGCAACTGTATCATCCGGGCGTAGATGCCATCAGGGTTGTTCTTGAGGAGATGTGAATGTGATCCTTGTTCCGCGACTTTGCCATCATCGATCACCGCGATCACGTGGGCGTTCCTGATAGTAGATAGCCTATGAGCCACGACAATCGACGTTCTACCAGAGCAAGCTTGGTCCAATGCTTCTTGCACTGATCTCTCGGACTCTGCATCAAGTGCGCTTGTGGCCTCGTCGAGCAGCATGATCTCTGCTTTCCTCACGAGGGCACGCGCAATTGCTATCCTCTGTTTCTGTCCTCCCGAGAGCTGAACACCTCTCTCTCCAACATACGTCTTGTAACCTTCGGGTAGCGCGGATATGAATTTGTGGGCGCTGGCCAGAGTTGCAGCTTGTATGATCTCTGCTTCGGTCGCGCATTCGTGTCCATATGCAATGTTTTCGTAAATGGTGGTTCCAAACAAGCATGGTTCTTGAGGGACTATGGCTATGTGTTTCCTTATGGCTTTCAGGTTGTATTTCCTTATGTCTTTACCGTCAATCATGACTCGGCCTGAGGATGGTTCGTAGAATCTCTGGATGAGGGAGATAACCGAGCTTTTCCCACATCCACTTGGACCTACAAGTGCTAGAGTTTTGCCAGCTCTAGCACGAAGGCTAAGGTCACGGAAGATTTGGATGTCTGGTCTTGAAGGGTAAGAGAAATCAATGTGCTTTAGCTCAACTTCGCCGCGTAACCGGTCTGGGACTGGGGTGGTATCAGGATCATCAGGTTCAATCTCGGTTTTACGGTCAAGAAGTTCGAAAACAGACCGCATAGCCTGACCACCTTTGATGAAATCAGGAGCCAGTGTGAGTGTCTCTGCTGCACCATTGGCTGAGACCATCAGAACCATGAAGACTCTTATGGTTTTGGAGAAGTCAGAGATGCCATGTTTCACAAGCCATGATGCATACCATAGTCCGAGAGCATAAGAGGCATAAAGACAGAACTGTGCTACACCATAACCACTTCCAGCGATCTGTCCTTTCCAGAAGCAGCGTTTCAATGGTGGTTCAAGGTTTGCAGTGTAGAGACGAACAATCTTTGCCTCTGAATTGAAGGCCGCCACTGTCCTGACATTAGCTATGGCTTCACCAGCGAGCTGCGTCCCCTTGGCATGCGCCGCTTCCAGGTCTCCCGAGAATCCAGTCATGAACATTTTCTGTTCAAGAGACAAAACAGAGTTAAAATCTAAGGACAATAATAAGAGTATACATTTGCTTTGTACAACTACAAACACATACCTGTAAGACAGTTGCAGCAACAACTACGGGGAAGACTGCGACAAGGACAAGTGCTAGTCTCCACTGTAGAACAAACCCGGCAGTGCAAGCTACTAGCATCAGTGCTGTGTTCTGCACAATAACTGAGATTCTATCTCCAATGGCGGATCTCACATTATTGGCATCAAGAGCTAATCGTGCTGCGATTCTTGCACTTTCGTTCTCTTCTTGATCAAACCAAGCCATCTCATTCTTGAGTACAGCGTTGAGCATCTTCTCACGGACTCTCTTGGTCAGATTCTCACCCACGATGTCCCAGAAAGAATGCTGGAGCGTGTTGAAGATAAGTGCTGCGGAAGAGAGGCCGATTAAAAGATAACAGTACTTATCAATCTGTTTGATCATGTATTCATGGTCCGGGTTGTAGTAGATGCTTAGGACTGCGCTGAGGACATACGCAAAGAACGCGCTGAGGGAGCCGCAAATGACAGATCCTACAGAACCAAGCAAAGCATATTTCCACTCCGGCGCATTCATTTTAGCTAGCCGCCAGAAAGAATTGGCTTGATCCTTGAAGGCTAGCTTCTCATGTCGATAATTTGGGTAAGAAGAAGCTTCAATGGAGAGGCTGAAATCAGAAGTTGAGAAATCCGAGAGTCTCCGTGAATAAGGTGATCTTCCATACGACGAATTCCGAGTCATAATTGGCGAGCTAACCGAGTTTCTAGCACTTGAAGGTCTGCAACGTATAAAAATTGACATTAGTAACTAAACAAAGCATCATTAGTGCCACATAAAACGAATCAGAATATACCTTGCGCTACTCTTTCTCGCATTACTCATGGCAGTTTCATGAGCTGCTTCTTGCATTCTAATTAACTTGGCGTAGATTCCATTTTCTCCCTTGGAAAAAAGCTCATCGTGCGTTCCAATCTCAGAGACACTTCCTTGCTGAAGCACAGCCACAAGGTCAGCTTTACG